TACCAGTAGAGCTATTATTTGAGTTTGTTTTATGCTACTGTCTATAAATTAGGTTATAAAGCTAAACATTAGGTCTGGCGAGCTAATTACACATTGTTAAACTTTGTCAGACACTAACAGAATTCCAAAGAAAAACTATCCAGTTTCTCAATATTCTCTGAATTAAAATTCAATAACGTGTCCTTTAAAGTCACAATCAACATTTAACTACTTCAAATTATTGCCTAATGTGTGTGTGTGCAACAAAAACATTGGACTTTTAATGCTCCCAAAATCTGTTTTTTTTCTTTTTTTCATGAGTCGATCACATTTATAGTAGAGTTTGATTTAAACACTTGATTTCTTTCTGGAATGTAGTCAAGGTATTTTTCTTAAATGTATTCCTCCCGCGGCAAAGAACACATTTACTTCACTCACTTTCGCATTAAACTACATAAAAACCATTAACATATTTGACGTGAATCAAAAGGAGCTAATCCATCTTATCTGCAGCAAGTACGCTTTTCCGTCGTGAAATATATTGTAGTATATTTCTGTTTTGATATACATTAATCTGTCGAAAGCACTAGAGCTTTTAAACTTCGACATTTAGTTTTAATAATATGTATACGTGCTACTACGTGCTTCTTTTATATAAAAAAAGGACTGTCACAAATATCAGTTTAAGAGAAGCTACAATGCCTCCATGATGTTATAAAAAATAGCCCTAACCTAAATTAGACTAATTTTATTACTGTGCAGAGGATCCCTAAAGCAATAGATTTTTATTTCCAATGTTGGTAGTAAAACTAAACATGTAAAATATTTTAATAGTGTCCAATAAAGTAACTACCATCTCTAAGTTAACAAAATTCCATGCTTTCGAAGAAAGTATTTCAAGCATAAAAACAATGTTTAACATTTTTCAAAAGCAGCTATAGTTAATTCGGTATTTTACCTCTATAGAGAGGGATATGGTTTCCTTCTAGTAAAGAGCATAGCACTAAACAACTGCTTAAAGTAATCAAATACTGATGTAATTTTAAACTACATTGTAGAGATATTTCTTAATATGACAAGTGTAAAAAAGATTTATATAAAAAATTAAGAAGTAGGGATGGAAGCACCAAAAATTAAGGATACAAAGTAGGAATAGGCGAGATAACATTACACCACCTGATGGTTTTTAACACGGTGCCGCCTCTAAATGGGGGTGCTTTTGTAACTAGGTAATTTTTCAAACTAAATGAAAGGTGTATGTATATCTAAATTTCTATGTTATAAACTTTTTTCAGCAATCAAGTACAAATACATGTATGTAATCAACTTACGTGTCCCTAACAAAATGCACGAAAAGAAAAAAAACGCTCTAATAGTCATGCTTTGCTTATGCGAGACATTATAGCTATATGATTGATAAGGATTGGTCCAACAGAATAGTATCAAAACCGCTGATTTTTGAAATTTTTAAATTTGTTGAGTATTTGGAAAGGATTAATTACTGATAAAACTCAATTCATATCTCTAATTGGATCAAAGTTCAAATCAAAACACGAAGTGGGAATGGGCGGAACGATGGCCACACTCACTTTGAGGTTGCAACATATGAGAAACCACCAAGTGTTGTAATGTGTCCCGCCCATTCTTACCTTGTTTCCTTACTTTTTGGTGCTCCCATTCCTACTTTATAATGTTTTTATTTGAAAATGTTTACACTTATCTCATAGGTTTGTTTAGTACTAAGTTTCAAGAGTGACTGTGCTCCAGGCCGATCCTTTTCGCAACTTTTCTTAGTAATACGTCATATAGTGAGTGGGTTCTAGGCATATCCTTCTCGCACTTTTTTCTTAGTACTACGTCTCTATAGTGACTGAGTTCTAGGCTTATCCTTCTCGTATCTTTTCTTAGAGCTATATCTTGACATTTCCTTGCTTTTGCTGATATCTTTGCTGCAGTTTTTCTTCCATGTAGTCAGGATGGCAGCTTTTTTTTCTGGATTAATGGCTAAGGTTTGTTTCGAATATTTAGCACTACTGTTTCTAACCTTATCTCTATTCTTGCACTAATGTACCCTTCTCTGGAACCAATTTTTTTCAAGATCATCAACATAATCTTCTCTCCTTTTCTCTCGTTTTGTTTTCTTGAAAGGCATATATTAAAAATCACACTGTTTCCACCACAACCTTAGACGTCAATAGATCACACTTAGTAGGACAACAATGCTAAGGTAAATTATACAGCTTATTATTCTTGTTTTAAGTCCAGAGTACTCGAGCAAAGCCGTGTTAGACTTCTGCAGTGGTAGCATTCGTCCTAACGTAGGAGTCTCACGTCTTAAGCACCGACTGCTATGATAGAATTGCTTTGTCCAACACAGAACCCTCGAATCAGATGTATAAAACTGAAACTTCACTTTCAAAGATTAGATCATAATTAGAATCTAGATCTAGATAAACTACATAGTACACCTTTTTTGTCTAGCTGATACAGCTGCAGGGTGATCACGTAACGTGTGTATATAAGCAATCGTGCATCTGCTCGTGATATAGAGCGGGTTGCTACTTGGCAACTCACAGAGCATGCTCGTAATTATATAATATGGCCACTAGTGTATTATTAACTCGTCAGTACATTACTGGTTATTGTTATTACTTGTCATTACCAACGTTATAAGTAACCTAAGAAAAACGCTTTGAGCCAGGGTAGAGTAATTCAAACATGTACATTTATATTTGCATAAGGTGAAGACAGGAGAGAGCTGTGCCTTTTCAACGTTAGTCAGTCAGCCACAGATTGACAAATTTGTAGTTTTGTGAAATTTTTGTTTTTACTCTATAAACTTTCTCAAGTGCTTTGATGGCTTATTACTCTGCAGTGTGTGTAAAGAGCTTAAAAAATTTTGCTTAAATGCTATTTACAGAGTGTTTGAAATTGTAATTTGTACTGCACATATTTCATATCCGAGCCATTTCTACTATAAGTACTACTTATAATGCTTATAATACTTAAAACAAAAGAATGGAAGTATTATTAACCTGAAAACAACACCTGTTGTGACACATGTATATATAATTGCTAAAGAGAAAAAGGAAATCAATCAGCAGTACCTGTTGCCTACCCGACTACTTTTAGCCAAATAACGGGATTGACTGTCACAGCTGTAACACCCAATGCCTGAAATTTTGCACCTCGAACATGAGACCCGAGGCCAATCATGCTAACCATGAGGCCAAGCCTGGCATGACAATATAAATGAATCCATATGGTATTATTTCATACTCTGGAGACTAACTTAAAACTGATAGAACATTTTATGAATATGAAGAATAATAAAAAGTGAATAAAGTATTTTGTCACCATAAGAAATAGTTATAAGATTATACAAGTTTATTTCACTGTAAAAAGTAGTGTTTAATGTATACCGTATTTTACCGTTTCAAATATTACTCCTTATAGTATATAATACTCTACTACTAATGTATAGAGAACAGTCTTTAACATGTTGTACAGTTTGGCCAATATGTTTGCATATTTTTCTAACGAATAAGATCATTATTATTAATATGAAAATACAAATATACTTAGCATTATCAAACTGAGAAATGTATGTTATATTGAACATCTAGATATGCAATATGTATAATGAGACTGGTTCTATAGCAATCTTAAACGATTTATTACAAAGCAAATAATTTTATCAGATACCTGTAAAATGTGTAATTCAGTATTTCACCTATCACAAACAATCCTTACCAAAACATATAAAATTACAAAATATAAGTTATTATAAATAGCATCTGTAACCTTATATCAGTTCATGGTAAATATTCAGTTCTTGGTTGGCCCTCTTCGTACTCTAATAATTTCTGCAATGTGACGTAGCATGCTGTTGATATGATTATTGATGTAATGTACCGGAATTTCATCCCAAATTGTCACTCAAAGACGCTGAAACTCAAATACAGTAGCTGGTTTATGGTCATGAATAGCAATTTTACGGCTCAATTCTACCCAACAGTTCTCAATGGGATTACAAACTGGAGACTTTGTAAACCATGGCAATTTTGTAACGTCCTTCTGATCGAGATAATCCTGTACAATACGCACGCTATGGGAAGAGCATTGTTATCCTGTTACACAATGTTATTGCCAAATCCTGACCTAGCATATGGCAGAAATATCGTCTCTGTGTGATGCTTATAGGAGGCGCTATTAACGGTTCCTTGAAGGATATGAATACCAGTTTCTCCACCATAATGAATAGCTGCCCAAATATATACTGCACCACCTCCTATGTGTTCCCTGTCGAAAAGACAGTCTTCCCTCACCTGTTCTCTAGGCGAACAACAAACACGAATCAGCTTTAACAAGCCAGAAACAGGGCTTATCTGAAAAGATGACTTGTCACCAGCATCCTAACTGTAAGTTAGCATGTTGTTTTACCCAAGTAACACGGAATAGCTATGAATTCTGATTAATATTGGTTTCGAGATAACCCTTTTTTTCAAACTAACCTTGTTTTCTCATTCTCCTATTCACTGTTCTTCTGAATATCTTGGAATGAATGTGTTCATATTATACCTGTTATAAGTTGTTGCAAGATTTCTTTCGATCTATATGTGTTAACTGATCAAAAACGGTCTTCTCAGGCAGTAGTTTTCGGCGACTACCAATAGACTTTCCTGGAACTATGTATCCTGTAGTCCGATTACGTTTCAGGTTACTGGATACAGTGCACTGCGGTACCCCTATTGTTCTGACAATGTCTGTTTGCTTCGTACCATTTCTGGACCGTAGAACAATTTGACGCCCTAAAATTTCATGCACGTGACGAGGCATGACTGTACACCAAGTAAAGAGAAATTTTCTGAACAAAGCGTTGATGTGTTTCGAGAAAATTATACCAAAAGCACACCCCTTTTATACAAAACAAGTGTATATGTGTGTTTTGACGAAGAAATGCTCAAAACAACTTATACATACCAGAATAACAATTCGTACATATTTATCCAATCATACTCTACCTTCTCCGTTACTACTCGGGCACTTACTCGATAGTACACCATGCAACATAATATAGAACAGTATGTAAACTTTTTGGCCAAGACTGTATTTTTTTGCAGCTGCATAACACAGATTAAACTTTCATACTATTATACTGCTGCATAAAATCTAGTGCTCAAATTGGATACCATTTTATAAACTATTATATTGAAATATTATACCGCTATAGAAATTAGTCCTAAATATTAATAATGCTTTAACATTAAAAGTCAATGCTTTAAATATTCATTATTCTAGTACAGCAGAGAGCAGAACTAAACTGATACATTTTTTGTCAGTTCTGTTGCCATAAATAATTTTCTCAGATCATTTTGTGCAGAATACGATAAATTCAAACTGCAACATGATAACATGTATATAAAATGTTGTTTGTTTGTTTTTTTAATTTCGCGCAAAGCTACACGAGGGCTATCTGCGCTAGCCTTCCCTAATTTAGCAGTGTAAGACTAGAGGGAAGGCAGCTATTCATCACCACCCACCGCCAACTCTTGGGCTACTCTTTTACCAACGAATAGTGGGATTGACCGTCACATTATAACGCCCCCACGGCTGAAAGGGTGAGCATGTTTGGTGGGACGGGGATTCGAACCCGCGACCCTCAGATTGCGAGTCGAGCGCCTTATACACCTGGCCAAGCCGGGCCTTATAAAATGTTAATATTATCATAGCGCTTACAAATTTATAACTATAAGTGTGAGAGCATAACACTTTTGGAAATATAATACTTGTAAATCGATGATATTCTATTGAAGAAAACGAATATAAAAGATTAGATAGTTTTATTTTTCATTAATTTCTGATGAGGAAAAAGAAGGATAATGGAGCTTCCTCTCACCAAAGTATTCACTAAGTATAATCTGGAGAAAAAAAAGTTAATGTTATCGATTAATAAATGCATCCTAAGCACAAATAACATCTTTTAAATTATGCTAACCACGGAACTATTTTTCTACGCTTCTATGTCTGTCATTTAAAAGCGTGGAGTATATTACTTTGAATTCATGCGCATGCTATACCAATTGTAAAAGAAAAATCTAGATCTACGAAGATGAGGCTTATTTGTCGCAAAAACAGAATGGTCCAAAAGTAATATGGTTTTGAAGTGTCAGATATGAATGTTTTGGTTGCAACCTCTATAGAAAGAGTAGCAGCAGAAAGCCCCACAGTAAAATAAATTACTTAAACTGACTTATTCCATTCTCATTGACATTTGTGTTTACTGCGCATTATTTCTATATAAATTGCTGACAGATAATACATTTCTTCCGTACACATTCCAGAGTTCTGTTATTTCTTGGTCACTTTGTATATCCATATAAACGATCCCTTAAGCGTGCCTAGTGATTCTTGTCATAACTAAGTAGTCACTGTTGGTCTGAATTGTAACGTGCAATTAGTTCCTTTCTAAAATTATATCTGGTACATTGCATCCATACAAATATATTTATTACTGACTGTTAGGTATATAATGTTCTGTTAGATGACTGATTAACATTAAAACTAGAAAAAAACACGAAGAATGAAAGGTCCGTCGCAAACTCATTTATTTTCACATATATTTCCCTATCTCATAACATTACTTGCATTGTGAAAAGGTAATAATAGCCTGTTCATTTTCAATTAAACTTAGTGTAATTGCTTGCATTGTTTAATAATACCAATTTTCAGTCTTCACATCCATTCCACGAACAGTGGAAGATTGTTTATTTGGAATGGTGGTGTTAGTTCGAAATTGTGATTTAATTAACACAATGAACTTGAAGTGATTTAACACAATAATCAATGTACTGATAAGTATTTATCATTTTATCTGAAAAAAATATTTCGGGTTTATAGGAGTAATTGCAACTGTTGTGATGTTGTATACACGTGGAGTCAGTTGCAAAGAACATCGAACTTAAAAAGTCCTTAATCTCTTCCGATTTCTCTTCCCAAAGACGTTAATTATATATTATCTTGTTTTCCCCTTTATTTATCTCTTTAAAATGAAATTTGGGTTTCTAAATATGGAAAACAAACACTCGGTGGTGCTTCACTACATAATTTACACCCTATAATAATTGTTTGCATGACTATTCGATCTGACCTAAAGTGACTTTAAATGGGGATCCATGCTTAAGAAATTATATATTTTGAAACCAATT